CAATTTTTCCCACCGATCTGCTCAGATTGTTCCAGATAGGACCCAGATCCTGATCTACATTCGCATATCGTTGATGACAGTCTGTCGGTTATAGTTCATCATTTGCGGTTAAGTGAGTTTGTAACTCATCCTACCCGCAGATGACTTCGATTCGGTTGTCGTACGATGCCAATTGGCCCTTAAATGTTAATTACAATATCCTCTCGTGATCATGGATGCACCTGGTAATTGTACAGCAGTTGTAGACGTTGCACATTTATCAGACCTGCATGTACGCCCACGCATAATACCCCAATACTTGCATTACTTTTTTTAAAAACATTATGTTTTACTTATAGCGACTAAGTAGGCACACAGAGCTCATTCGGCAGCTGAGCAGGGTTTGTAGCTATGGCCATAGGACGACTCTGTTCGCAAACGCTACACCAAAAGCACTGTTCGTTCAAACATTCAGCAAAGGTTGCTTATGAACATTAGCTTACCTTTTCGCTTCTTATTTCGATATACTTCATTGGGTCTTTAGCGACATGCGGTTGGTTTTCGGCTTATTGTACTATAATATCTGTCCAAGTGCATTAGAAGTAACTCAGTTTAAAAAAACGGGAGAAAGGTTAATCGTCATGATTTTAAGTTAATCTCGAAAATCTGATAAAGAATCGATATATAACTCTCAGTCGACTAAGTGTGGCCAATTCGCGGGTACTGTTTGCTCAGTCTTTGTCCTCTATTGGTTGTACTTTCCATCAATTTTTGATTTGCTCCTGTTTCTATCGCGGCGGTTTATTCAGTTGTCCTCAATGTGCTTATGCTTACTTTTTGTTTATTTCTTAATTGACGCGCATTTATTTGTTGCCATAAATTAAATAAGATAAATAAGCATTCTTATTATTTTTTTAATTTTGCACGCTCTGCTTTTTAATTTTTCTATCCTCTCCCTTGATATGATCTACCCACGTAACTCTATTACAACGGGTCCTGTATTAAACAATCCTGGGCTTTTTTACTCTGTGATACTTATAAAGAATTTATATCAAACTTTCCTCTATAATCTAACGTCCTCCCCCCCCCCATCCTTCGTGTTCCTTGCTCGCTCGCTATCTCGTGGGATCACAATGCCAGCAGTCCATACCATTCCCCAGTAAAGAGATTGGTGAAACTATGGCGGAAACAAACAGCAAGAGAATCCTCCTGCTGACACTCGTTGTCGGCTTGTCCCTCTTCCTGCTCAATGTGATCTTCGTTGGCACCTTCTATGTTTGCATGCAGCAGCGCAAAGACCGACACAGCGATGGCATTCTAGTCGCGGCCGCCGACGCGGACAACGGAAGCACGAGTGAGTTCTTGTCTCAAGCTCGACTCTTGCCACTTTTTTTCGCCAAAATTTTGGGCCAGAACACATACAAATTGCTAGCTTCTCCTTCAGACATATGGATTTTCGGCCTTATTTCTGCATTGGCCACACAGATCGTTTATTTTATTATGAAAAAATGTGCAGAACTTTTAATCAGAATTATATTGCAGAAGGTACAATTAACAGAATTGACTTATCTAGGCTTTTACCGTCAGTCAGACGAGAGGGGACAGGTAAACCACGAAAGCCTGAAGTAGGTATAATTCCTCTTTAAGGTTGTGTACATGTGAATAGACGCCGCTTCGAGCATAGAAATAGCAGGTTTTGTGTTGATACAATACGGCGGGTTGCCCCTCTTATATTCTGCTACATGAATTACTGGATGAATTTATCAAAAACTACAAGTTTTAGGAATATTGGGAAACCATAGTTTAGACATTAGAAAATCTGTTATACTGATATTAAAGCTATCACTATTACCATTCACAAAAACAATTTTCAATGAAGGGAAAATGTGCCAATCAGAAAACGTAAACATTTGAGCTGCCTCAACAATAGGTTCTCAGATTAAAACTGTATCACCCAATGGTGCAAATCGTATCCTGTTATTTTTATGTGGAAAAAACGCTAGTCCTCTAACTGCAGAGGACTTAAACCATGTCGTTTTTAGATTTTTAACTTGTATTTTTACATTCAGCGACCAATCGCATGCTGTTAATCAAAATTTAATAATTCGCTTCAGGCTAGGAACGATTACTTAAGTGGAATTATAATATTCATTTTCTTGTTGCATAATCCAAAATTAGTTCAAAAATAACAGGATGCCTGCTTTTGAGTGCAGGTCGTTTCAACAGTCTGAGGAAACTTCACTTGATAAAAAAAGACCACCTAAGAAGTATGCATTTTGTCAGTAGATGTTCAGTGTCTTTTTTACTTAATATACATGCTAAGTAAAACGAAAGCAAACACATTCTTGAATACAGTTAGTAAAAGCTCACGGCTTTTAGATTTTCATTCGTGGAATTGCAAACTTTTGGTTATTTAAAATAAAAGAGTTATAAAAATCGCACTTTATCTGCTTATCTCTTATGCTCCTCTTGTACCATACAATTCGGCACAAATACGCTGCAACATTTTCATGGCATTTTCTTTATACTATACAGGAATATGTAATAGTCCTCCCGCGATAGGTGTGGGGTTCGTATACTTAAGCATTTACACGCAAATGCCACAGTATATCGAGCTCAAATGCCTAAAAAGAGCCTTTCCTTGAGTATAAAATTTCGAGAAAACCTAATTTTCTAGCAACTGCATACAAGGTAGAGTATTTTTGGTCATGGTTTCTATATTAAATTTTCGAATACATAAGGGCATTACAAATCAATTGAAAAAGGACATACTATTTATGCAGCTATTTGTTACTGATTATGGTTTATGCAGACGGCTGAGAAAGAACTAAAATTCAAATGTCAGTATGTTGACGTGTCTAAATTACCTTGGGATTTTGCTGCAATACCAGTTGAGTAAACTTTTTTTGGATTGAAAACTGCTTTAAGAATTTTCGTTAAGCTTCCATAGGATTTGTCGCTGACTTTTAAATCCCTCAAATCGCTCACA